CTCTCTCTCTCTCTCTCTCTCTCTCTCTCTCTCTCTCTGACTTCCTCTCCCACAGGCCCTCTGCTCCCTGCACTTGCTGGGTCCTTTGTGCCCATAGCTCCATGCTCTGAACAGCTGCCCCTGTCCCCTATGTCAAAAACTCTCCCGTGAACTTTGAAGCCTCCTTGCAGACTTCCCTGTTAGCATTATTAGGCTTTTATCTACTACCTGTATCAACCACCAGAGAGCACCACCACCACCCCCTTTACAGTATGTTCAATCCTGTCCCCTGTTAAGGAAACTTCTGAAGACTGTGACAGCTCTGATTTCTCTTTAAATCACTGGTGTGCAGTGACCTACCATTCATGGGAATGCAACATGAGGCCTTTGGCAATGTGATTTTGAGCCATGTGGAGTAACTCCATTAGGCAGTAGCAAGGGTAGGCTTTTCTTTTCTGTTTGACCCAGCCATTACAGACATTACGTGTACCTAGCCAGTGTGTTATGAGTTCCCCACAGGCAGGATTTTGCTCTGCATATTGGGACTCTGTAAAGAACACAGTCCAGTACCAGTGCTCCCTCATTAGTACTAACACTGGAGTTTTATTCAGGGCCAGGTACAGTCACCTTTACTACTGCTGTGGCAGCACAGCTGCGGTCTAGCGGGCACTATGGTAACTCTGCCCAGTGCCAAGCCCTGAAGTGTTGTACAGAGGCTCATTAGCACTAAGCTATTGACACAACCCTTCCAAACTGCCTCCCAGCTCCCTCTCTGTTTACTTAGCTCCTCTGAGGCTCTTATCACATCAGTACATCCCAGGGATGGGGAAAGGCTGGTGTCCTTTACATCTGCTGCTGATAGGGATGGAATATGGTCCCTTTGTTCCTGGGAGGAAGCTGATAACGAAAGGCTGTCCCCTCTTAGGTGCTGGCAAAATTAATTGCATCCAGCAGAAGAAAGTATCCAAAGGGCACTGCTCTGATAGTTACAACCCCTGAGATCTATAAATAGATCACTTCCAGGGCCCTTTAAATATATCTGTCAAACATATTAATGTGATCGGTGCCAAGGCTGAGACCAAGTCCTGAGGCAGAGTGGCCTCTGAATTTCTCCTTGTTGGAGTATGTCCTCTGCAAACTCACTTCTGAGCTGCCTGTTAGTCTGTTCATCCATGCTCTGTATTTATTGCTGGAAGAGGATGAAGCAGATTGCAGGGGTGAACAATGCTTAGAGGTTGGTAACAGTAAATTGAGCTGAGTTCAGTAGAAAAGCTGGTCACAGCTCACTGCCAAACAGTGGAGGCTGGAGGCCTCACAGGTAAGGTAGGCTTGAAGGGGTGATTTGAAAGTAGCTGAGGTGACAGCTCGCTGGACTTCTGGCCCTTCTGTAATAATGTGAGTGTGATGGGTCTTCTGCCAGAGACAACTCTTCCCAGGCCTCGTAGTCTGAGGAACAGTGGTCAGATGGAGATGCAAGAAACCTGGGTTAAGTGCCCTGCCCTGCCACAGATTCCCTATGTGATTTAGGGAAAATCATAGTTTCTTTGTGTTCCAGCACCTTGTCTATATTAGCCCCTCCCTACCTCATGGGGATGCTGGGAGGCCAAATGCTTTAATGTGCTGAAGTGCTCAGATCCTATGCTATCCTATGGCTGCATAAATACACGTTTGCTTTGAGCAGATGCCCAGAGTGGTGTTAGGCTGCCCTAGATATAACAGGAGAAATATATTCACTTTGTTCCCTTTTATTTTTTGGTTGTTCTCCACCCTTCCCTCCCCCCAGCTCAAGACTCCAGAGGACAAGATGTTCCAGTGACGGTTCTCTCTGGAAGATAGTCTCAACAGACACCAATTATTCTGTAGTGTAAGAGAAGTCAAGCGTAACCACTTCACTCTGCATGAACAACCTGCCTTACCCCACACACTGTTATGTGCAGCAGGCTTGTACACAGAGGTCTACATGGTCCACACACCCAGACACTGCAAATACACCTGCAGAGAGATTCCTCTGTTCCGTGTATAATGGCAAAAGCAGTGACAGGCACCTCCATGCTCTGTGTGCCCAGACACACATTAGTCACACAAGCCTGCACACAGACATGTGCATAGGAAGTATGACATGGATCTGTTGACCCAGTACACACAAGCACCCTGGGAGCCTGCAGAAATGCTCATGCACGTTCACTTGCTCACGTACACAAATGAGCCAACACGCACAGCACTAGCAGCAGCTTCCTCCTATTCGGTGGTTTTTCTGACATTCCCAGGGATGATGCATCCATTTCACCACTGACCTCCATTCCATAGTGCAGAAGTGTCAGTCCCTCACTAGGGGGGGCTGGAACATCATCTCATAGAAGTGCTGGGTGGCTCAAAAATTCTGCTGCTGGATTCTTATCCTGGGGGAGGAGAAATGGAATTCAGCATCCACTTCCTTGTTTCTTCACTGCTTCCTGGTCTGCCCCTTTTGCAAGAGTCATAGAATGACAGCAGTTTTAGTTGGGGAATTATTAGCATTACAATAACACCCCAACTGAAATGAGGAGTGTGTGCAAGGTGCACATACATCTAGTGAGGGACAGTCCCTGTCCAAAGGAGCTTGCAGTTCAAAGGACAAAGTTGGCCTAGGTTCTATTCCCTGCTCTGTCCCAGCATTACTGTCTGGTCTTGAACAAGCCACTTAGCTTCATAAGTTTCTATCTGTAAAATGGGGCAATAGCACCCCCATACTTCATAAGGTGCAGGGAGGATAAGTACAGTAGAGTGAAAGATACTCCTATACTGTACTAATGAGACCAGATAAGTACCTTAAATAAGTAGGGAAAGTGGCTTCTATCAACTAATAGTAGAGGTAGGACTAGAATCAAGTCTTT